GTGCTGGAGAAGAGTATTGAATGTACCGTGGACTGCCAAAAAAACAAACAAATTCATCCTGGAGAGGATTAAACCAGGCTGTTCCTTGGAGGCAAGAATTCTGAGGCTTCGTCTGACATACTTTGGACATATTGTAAGGAGGGACAGGTCCTTGGAGAGGGACATCATGCTTGGAAGGGTGTAGGGACGGCACAAGAAGGTAAAACTCTCTATGAGGTGGACTGATTCAGTGACTGCGGTAATTGGGATGGGTTTGCTGGAGACAGTGTGATTGGCTTAGGATAGAGCAGGGTTTAGGGCTGTTATACATGGGGTCGCTATGAGTTGCAAACAACTCGATGGCACATAACAACAACAAATTGTTATGTGTCATCAAGTCAGAACAGACTCATAGCTGACCCTCTAGTGTGTTTTCAGAGGCTATGAACTGCACAGAAGGAGACTGCCCATCTTACTCCCCTGGGGCATCTGGTGGATTTATATGCGCTCTGGTGCCTTTGTGTTGGCAGCACACCACCTTACCTACCAGAGCTCCCAAGTTCACATATTTCTTTATTTTAAAGAAATAGATTTTTTTAAAAAATTTTGAGGGCTTAACTTTTTACTGCTTTCAGACATTTTAAAGTACTCAGTACTAAATCTTTATGTATCTCCTTTAGAAGCACATGAGAATCCAAGTAAAATAGCTGTTGGTAAATTCTTTACGATCGTGATGACCAGTTTTTCTTCATAAGGTTCAGCTTCTTGAGTTAGTTGCTCAACATGGAACCATGGTGGCCTAGTGTTATGAACCTACACTACAATCCTAAAGCACCCAGTTTGAATTCACCAGCTGCTCTGTGAAAAAAACAGGCAGTCTCCTCCCAGGTGAAATGCCTCTGCAAACCGCTAGAAGGTCTGCTAGAGGGTCACTTATGGGTCAGTTCCGACTCAATGGTACATAAAGACACTGCCACACATACATGTTGTTGTTGTTGTTATGTGCCGTCGAGTCGCTTGTGACTCATAGCGACCCTATGCACAACAGCCCTAAACTCTGCTCTGTCTTGTGCCAATCGCACTGTCTCTGATATTCCCATCCCAATAACCCCAGTCACGGAATCAATCCACCTCATAGAGGGCCTTCCCCTCCT